TGCAAAGGGTAGGAAATAAGGGAGAAGAGTCCCACAGTGCCTCCTAAACCTTGCTTTGGGGGCCAACTTGTATTTCCATCCCAGCTTCTGCTGCCACATACATCCATCATTCAGGAAATGTTTACTGAGCACCTAGGGACTGGGGATACTGGGAACAAAACAAAGATCCTGGCCCTCATTGTCACACAACTGGGGAGAGACGGAAAGCTAATTAAACAGTGTTTGTGGTAAGTGTTCAAAAAGAACATAGCACCAACAGATAGCACAAAGTGCTTTTAAATAGAGTGGTCAGGCAAGATGAATGTGAAGATGAGGTTGGCAAGCCAGATAGAAGTCTGTGAGAAGACCATTTCAGTCCTCCCTGCGGGGATGGAGGGGCTCTGGGGCAAAAGCATGGCTACAGCAGAGGGCAATTGCTGGATAGTAATAGGAGTTGAGATCAGAGGGGGACCAGGTCAGATCTTAAGAGGCCTGAGGTCATAGAGAGGACTTGGGCCTTCACTCTGAATAGTATGGAAAGCCATGGGAGTATCTTGAGCTTGATCTGATCTCCATTTGAGCCAAAATGATTTCAAGGGAGCTGTCAGGAAAGACTAGTGATATTTATTAGATAATGGTTGCTTTGCAAATGCCAAAATAGCAAGAAAGAAGTTTCTTCCAGACACCTTCTGTTTCAGGTAAGCAGCTCTAACTTTACAGGGGATGTTTTGGGTCTTCAAATGACAAGCTGTTAGAGGAGTGGGACCTGATGCATAGCGGGCAGGGTCAAGAATGCTAAACAGCCTGCAATACCCTGTGCATCCTCACCTACAGCTTTACTCTGAGTGGCTGTGGCTCCCACCCACCAAGGTCTGTATTCTAGCCACCTGAAAGGGAACAGAGAGGAAAAGTTCTAAACATGGCTCAAGGACCCTGGTGGATCCCCGAGTCCCTTTCACAAGATTCATGAGGTTATTACTATTTTCATAATGCAAAAATGCACCGTGAAGTTTTCCAGAAGCTAAGTGACAGGTAATATTGCAACAGATTGAATGCAGAAGCAGCCTTATTGCCCTTGGCAATGGGGCTGGGGTATGAGCAGACCACTCTTCAGACACCAGCAATGATAGCTTAGGTGCATTTTATTAGTTTTCTTTCAGAGTCATTCTACAAAAGAACAAAGTTAAAAACCAAGGCCCTGGCAAGAGGGTTTGAACCTTTCTCATTCCAGGAGCCCTCCCCTGTTCCTCCATGTCCCCAACTGTGTCACTGCTGCAGTTCATGGGGGTGGAGGGCTTGCTACTTTTGCCCCCCTACCAAACCCAAAAAGGGAAAGACCTACCACCTAGAAACTCCTTCCCCTCACCCCAATTTCCCTCAAGTTGATCCTGGTTACAGAAGGCCATGGTAAGAACTGTTGGGATCCTGCAGGAGTTCTGAACCCCAGAAGGTCATGGCCAGGGCACCGTCTGTGAAGAGCACATTGTCCTCTGGCTCAGCACCCCTTAGGGACAATGTTGGACTCAGCACCTGAGAGTAGAGAGAAAAATCAGTGAAAACCCATCAACTTCAACACCAGCTGCCCCAGAAATCGATAAACTCAAGACTCATATATAAGGTTGGGCAGGTTGTACACAGCACAAAGGTGCCACAGCTAAGTAGGCACCATATTCGCATCATAGACGCTGTCCATAGGTTTTATATTTATCACAAACATTTATTAAAAGCCATGAGCAGCAGCCTCCCCTGCCCCATACCCCTGCAGTTACCACCTCACTCCCAGAGGCCAGTTGCACTCTCTCAGGCCAGGGAGGACCGGAGGTCAGGGCCTTAGCTGGGAGCTGGTGCAGGTAGATACACTCAGATTTGAAGGGGCAGCGGCCATTCCCTCGCACGAAGAACCGGCATCGGATCTGGCTATGAGAAAGAAGACGACCATCGCCTTCAAGACCTGTTACCCCAAGAACAAGGGGCGCTCGAGGCTGACACATAAGGCTGGGCAGGCTGTACACAGCACTAAAGCCCCACACCTAAGCGGACACCACTAGCATCTTAGTGTAGCTTTTACATTTATTCAATCTTCCAGCAGATGGCAGCAAAGCATCTTAAGGGGCCCCTTTCTGTAATTCTCAGTCTCCATTTGGGCCAGCAATAGCAGTGACCCTGGGAACCTCCTTCCATTTTTCTGGGTTTTTTTGTTTGTTTTTGGGGTTTTTGTTTGAGACGGAGTCTTGCTCTGTCACCCAAGCTGGAGTGCGGTGGCACAATCTCAGCTCGTTGCAACCTCTGCCTCCTGGGTTCAAGCGATTCTCCTGTTTCAGCCTCCCAAGTAGCTGGGACTACAGGTTCATGCCACCATGTGTGGCTAATTTTCGTATTTTTAGTAGAGATGGGGGTTTCACAGTATTGGCCAGGCTGGTCTTGAACTCCTGACTTCAGGTTATCCAACCGTCTTGGCCTCCCAAAGTGCTGGGATTCCAGGTGTGAGCCACTGTGCCCCCAATTTTTTTGAGATGGAATTTCACTTTTGTTGCCCAGGTTGGAGTGCAGTGGCATGATCTGGGCTCACTGAAACCTCCGTTTCCCAAGTTCAGGAGATTCTCCTGCATCAGCCTCCCAAGTAGCTGGGATTACAGGCACCCACCACCACACCCATCTAATTTTTTTTGTATTTTTAGTAAAGACAGGTTTTCACCATGTTGCCCAGGGTGGTCTCGAACTCCTGACCTCAGATAATCTGCCCATCTTGCCCTCCCAAAGTTCTGGGATTACAGGCCTGAGTCACCGTGCCTGGCCTTTTTTTTTTTTTTTTTTTTTTTTTTTTTTCCCTTTTTTTTTTTTTTTTTTTTGAGGCAGGGTTCTTGCTCTATCACCCAGGCTGGATTACAATGAATGGCATGATCATGGCTCACTGCAGCCTTGACCTCCTGGGGCTCGGGTGATCCTCCTGCCTGAGCCTCTCGAGTAGCTGGGACTACAAGTATGTGCCATCATGCCTGGCTAATTTTTGTATTTTTTGTAGAGATGGGGTTTCACCATGTTGCCCAGGCTGGTCTCAACTCCCAGACTCAAGAGTTCCTCCCCCTCAGCCTCCCAAAGTGCCGGGGTTACAGGCGTGAGCCACCATGCACAACCCCTCAGCTGCTTCTTCTACAGTATGAGGATAGTAAGAGTCCCTGTTTCATGCAGTTTATGACGTACAAAGCCTGTCACACAATAAACCTCCATCTACACCATCTCCTATCACATCCAGGCCTGAGAGCTCCACTTGGGAAACTTCCAACTAGTGGCCCAGCTGCCAGTACAGTTGCTGTTGAATAACATAGGCTTGAACTGCCTGGGGCAGCTTATATGCAGACAAGATCCTGGAGCCAACAAGACCAATTCCCTCCTCTTCCTCTTCATCCTCCTACTCAATATGGATAAAGTCTTTAATGGTAATCTGCTTCCACCTAATGAATAGTAAATATATTTTCTCTTCCTTATGATTTTAATGTTTCTTTTCTCTAGCTCACTTTATTGTAAGAATACATATTATGTTATATAATACATATAACATAAAAAATCTGTATGAATTGACTTTATGTTGTCCAAAAGGGTTCTGGTCAGCAGCATGTTATCAGTAGTTAAGTTTTGGGGGAGTTAAAAGTTATACATGGCCAGGTGTGGTGGCTCACGCCTGTCATCCCAGCACTTTGGGAGGCCGAGGCAGGCGGGTCGCTTGACCTCAGCAGTTCAAGAGCAGCCTGGGCAACATGGCAAAACTCTGTCTCTACAAAAAATACAAAAATTAGCCAGGCTTGGTGGTACGCGCCTATAGTCCCAGTTACTGGGGAAGATTTCTTGAGCCCAGGAGGCTGAGGCTGCAGTGAGCCGAGATTGCACCACTGCACTCCAGCCTGAGCAACAGAGCGAGGCTCTGTCTCAACAACGGCAACAACGACGACGACGTTATACATGGATTTTCGACTGCATGGGGTTCGGTGCCCCTAACCCCTAAGTTGTTCAAGGATCAACTGTATTTCCTCTCTTCCACCTGTCTGCCTGGGGCGTCCTCTTTTTTCTCCTCCTGAGGAACCCTGTTCTTCCCATGCGCAGCTTCAATACTTCCCCTTCTGTGACATTCACTCGAGTTAGTTTTCCCTTCAGTACTTTTGTTGATGCAGCTATTAGAGTTCACAGGTGTCTCCAGAACACGGCTGACTATCTCCTGGGTGAAGACAAGACCTCCTTCTTTATCCCTCCCTTTACCCAAATACACTTGCATAGATCAAGTGTAGTAAATCCCTTGGGAAGGTGGAATTAGGAACTTGGAATTGCAGCTCATTCCAGATTTTGGATAAGTGCTTACCCTCCCGAAGAGATTCAGACCTACTCAACATTTCCCCTTCGGCAAAGGCTGTCTTTCAGCCCCCTTCTCAGCCACCCCATGTTTTCAAAGAGCAGCTAAGCAAATAACATGTATTCGAATCAGTTTGTTTTCCCGCCTTATGATCAATTGGAAATAAAAGCCAAAGCAGGGCTTCTCATGGTACAGAGAGAACCAGAGTTGCTCTGAGTTGATTCTGAGCCAAGTTAGAAGAGAAAATTGGCCCTGGTGTTCCTTCTGCTATCTCAGGCACTCCCCGTTTATTAACTGGGCTTTCTTTTTCTTTTTTCTTTTTTTGAGACAGAGTTTCACTCTTGTTGCCCAGGCTGGAGTGCAGTGGCACGATCTCAGCTCACTGCAACCTCCACCTCCAGGGTTCCAGTGATTCTCCTGTCTCAGCCTCCCGAGTAGCTGGAATTACAGGCGCCTGCCACCACATCTGGCTAATTTTTGTATTTTTAGTAGAGATGGGATTTCACCATGTTGGCCAGGCTGGTCTCAAACTCCTGACCTCAGGTAATCCGTCCGCCTTGGCCTCCCAACGTGTTGGGATTACAGGTGTGAGCCACCATGCCTGGCCTTATTAACTGTGCTTTCTGAAATCATGAAAATAGTTCATGCCTTCACCTGCCATTTTGGTCACTCTAAACTTCAGGGTTTTGGGGATTCACTGGCTGGGGACCATGGCTGAACCGGAATGAATCAGGGGCTACCTCCTCCACTTGCCTAACCCTGAGTCTTGTTCCCTCTGCAGCCTTACCTCGTCCGAGCCTTGAAGTTCCTGATGAGTTGCTCCTTGTGGGCCCCCTTGCTCACCCAGAATTTGTGGGGGATGATGTAGCTGGAATGGACACGGCACTGGGGACATGCCCTGCGAGGCAGTGGAGTAGAAGGTGGGAGAATAGTCCCAGGCCCCCAGGCCGGCCTCCTCCCTAGGGTGTTTCCCTCCCTCCCTGTTGGCACCTCCATGACACTGACTTGATGACATCCAGCGGGAAGTCCTGCCGGTTCTTCCGCCAGGTGCGCAGGCAGCCCAGACAGTGGGCGTGGGTGCAGTTGGGCAGGATGCCGAAAACCCGCTGAGCCTCTGGCTTGTCCCACACTTTGTCCATGCAGATGCCACACACCACATCCCGACTGTCCTGCTTCCCAGGCAGCCACAGGTAGGGTCAGACACTCCACCCGCATGCCCACATTCAGCCTCAGGTGCCACCAAGCCCTCCAGTCCCTCCTCCCACAGCAGGTCTGGGTGTCCCAGAGGTCCAGAAAGCCATCTTTTGCCACCCCTCACCCACAACCTGCTGCACCTCAAGGTCCAGGCTCTGAAGGGGCGCCATGAGCTCTCGGACAAGGTGGAACTTCGGCAGAGACTCCTGGGAGTGGCCGTGATCCCCGTCAGCAGCTGTTGGGAAAACTGCATCCATTCACTCACCCCTGTGGCAACCACTGAGCATTTTCTGCACGCAAGGCTCTGTGGTAACCCACATCCTGCCCCCAGATGGGTTAGAGTCCAGTCAGAATTAGAAGCCTCTCATATAGGCCAGGCTCTGTGGCTCACACCTGGAATCTCAGCACTTTGGGAGGCCAAGGCAGGCAGATCACCTGAGGTTAGGAGTTTGAGACCAGCCTGGCCAACATGGTGAAACCATCTCTAGTAAAAATACAAAAATTAGCCAGGTGTGGTGGCAAGTGCCTGTAATCCCAGCTACTCGGGAGGCTGAGGCAGGAGAATCGCTTGAACCCAGGAGGCAGATGTTGCAGTGAGCTGAGATCATGCCATTGCACTCTAGCCTGGGTGATAGAGGAAGACTTCATCTCAGAAACAAAAAAACCCAGCCTGTAATCCCAGCACTTTGGGAGGCCGAGGCAGGCAGATCATGAGGCCAGGAGTTCGAGACCAGCCTGGCCAATATGGTGAAACCCTGTCACTACTAAAAATTCAAAAATTAGCCAGTCTTGTTGGCATGCTCCTGTAGTCCCAGCTACTCGGGAGGCTGAGGCAGAAGAACCGCTTGAACGGGGAGGCGGAGGTTGCAGTGAGCTGAGATCGTGCCACTGCACTCCAGCCTGGGAGACAAAATGAGACTCCGTCTCAAAAAA